TGAATTGATATAAGCCAAGAAGCTGGGCACCTGTCTCCTCTCCCTAGCTCTTTTCAGAAATGGGCTAAATTCCTACAAACTGCACTAAACACACCAAGAGCTGTACAGATGATTTTATAGACCTGGGAGAGTTATTCCAGCTAACAGCCACAGTACGCTCTGTGCAGGCAGCGTCACAATGAGACATCCTCTCTGCAGCCTCGCATAGAGGCCGATGCACCTCTGGTGCAGGTGGACGTATTGGGAAGGTGTTGCTACCCCAGCAAGCACAGCATGGGGACATGTCTCCTGGCCTTCAGCTGGGAAGGTGCATATGGGCTTGGGCTATCATATACAGCCACAGTTTCTCTCCCTGGAGCTCACCTAGAGCCAGCTTGGGATAGGTCTCCAAAGGCCCTGGGACACAAGATAAACAGATCTGTCCTTGTTGGGCCGCAGATGTAAAAATGGGGGTAATCAGAGCTCTTTAAGTGCATCATTAATAGGACTTTTTGGAGTCAAGCTCTGATGGGGTCCCAGCAGAGTCCTATGACTTCCTATGACACTCGGTTTCTAAAAGGCTTTTATCCGCTTCACAGCACTTCTACTCCATCTCGGGGATCTGCAAGCAGGGTCAGATGACAGCTGTGGGCAGAGAGCCAGCAGGTTGGATCCTCACCCACAGGGTCTTAACCCCATGCCAGAAGGATGCTTCTCAGGAAAAGAGGGTGTGCCATGACTTCAAGCGCCTCTCTGCCAGGGCCTCCTCCAAAATTCATCATGGCATGGGATACGATAGGTCCACCTTAGTACCTGTAACATGGTGGCAACAGCATGGACACTGCCAGATGTTCCACCCACTGGGAGGAAAAATACTAAGCATCTCATTGCCTGTGCCCAAGATTCCAGCCAGTACAACATCCAAAACCATCTCTGCAAGAGCAGGACGTGGGTGCACGTGGTGCTCAGTTCAGGCACCTTCTAGAAGGACAAAAGGTCTGCAAAGATCACCAAGGGCTGTCTGTGCAGGGAAGGGATGGCAGAGAACAGGGTCCGATGGCTCAGAACAGCATGCTTGATTGAGGACCACCTGACAGTTGTGATGCAAAAATTGCCTTTCATGGTGCTCATGAGGCAAATGTTGGGTGGATCATACCTGGGTGAGCCACAGGTCTCTCAACACTTCTGTTCACTGTAACATCAAGGTGTAGTTGTTTCTACCAAGCCTTCCTGTCAACACCTAGTCTGCTACTTGGCCAATAATATAAAATCTTTCGGGGTGAAACATGGCACTGATGTCAGCTCTTGGTGGTACAGTAACCAACAAGAAAGAATTGCTGTTAGAGACCTAAAGGTACAGTTAAACACTCAGAGAGCAGCAAAATGCATCTCATGTAGCTGAATATATTGTAAAAACAGTGACTGCACTAGATGCCATGGGCCAGCCCTGCAAAGTCATGTTCATTGAGTGGAAGTTAACACAACTGTGAGTTTAAGGGCTTTGAGCATTTATGGCCCCATCTTTCCTTGTGATGAGGAAGACAATAAGGTTGTCGTCTGAGAGCTGAAATTCAACTTCGGGCATTAGCTGTGGCTCATGACATATAGATCAGACACAGCCATAACCCTTGTCTGGGATCAAGGAGATAGTGGTTGTAATTGATGCATCTGCCAGTTAATCAAAAATTACGTCCACCCAGGGAAAAGCCCAGGAAATCAACCAGACAAGTCTCTTCTGTTGCCATCCTTTTGGATACAGTGGCCTCTTTGAAATACCACCACTTGTTACTGGCCTTGTGTGGGAAAGTTAATACCATTGTCCCCCTGCTCACATCTAGACAATGAGATACTGCCATGGACACGCTTAAGCGTCCACTCTCTGGAGTGTGTCCCGAGGAAGGTGTGCATGAACCTTTCTACTCCACCTTAAAAAACCAAGTTGTTCTTGTTTAAATCATCTTAATCTGGGAGGAAGTTATAGGGAAGAGGCATTCTGATGGACTGTCATGATATGGGGAAGGATGGGAGCAATTTTAGACTGTGATTCATGTTTGAAAGCCTCTGAATGGAAAATCTCATTATCTGAAAAATCTCTGAATCTGCAATCTGCTTATTATCAGGTATTTTGAGGTCTCATAATGACCAAAGCTGTAAGATTGCTGAAAGGACAGGGTCAAAGACATCTCCAGTTATCTGTCCCCTGTGGCATTGAAAGCTGATGCTGATACAAGGGCCCTGTGAGAGCATCATGACTCTTTGGAGCACGCCTGCTTGAACACAGCGTTAAGTCAAAGATGCCTCATTTTCAGTTTTATGCATGTCACACGCTTTCAGGATTGACCTTTATTATGGTTTTTAATTGTTTGACTTGCTTCCATTCAAAATTAAAGGAAGGGGGAGGAAGTGCAAATTTTAGCATGTTTTAATGCAAAATCCATCTTTGAAGAAAGAAGCAGAAAACAATGAGTGAAGGTGAGGAAAATAGCACCAAAAAGAACCCCTGGTCTGGATCTGGAAACCCCTGGTCTGCAAAGATCCGCTGACGTTACAGTCTGCTCCTTCACCCCTGCAGGAGGACCCAGATCCTTCCCTGAGCTCTGAGGCAGACCTTGGATGAAGGCAGACTGGTGGGGTGGGTCCCAGAAACCATCACCCCGGGTCCAGCAACAGCTGACCCACCCGCCACAGCAACACCTTCCACGGGAACCAACAACCCAGCAGAAAACCCTCCTGTATGGGTCAGCGTGTTCTCCCGCAGGACAGGCAAGGCCTGGATGGAAGCTGAGGAGCACAAATGGGGGTTGGTTGCTTTTGTATGCCCTCCTCCATGGTGTACGGCTCTGATTCAGGTTTTCCAACACTGCAGCATAAAAACCTTATTCCAGTGGGGACTTTGGTTGCTTCTGAGCTTGCACTAAATCAAGCCAAGACTAAATGCCTCACCAGATTACATTTCTTCATTGACCATGTGGCTCTTCAGGGCTACCTCGATTGTGGTAGATAAGAGATCACATGCCTTTGTAAAAGATTTGCTCACACACATGACCACCACTTCTTTCCTGTTTCTGCACAGCACATGGTGGTTGAAACCTGAGGGCTTGGAGCTGGCTGGTTCAGACACAGTAACAACATCTAGTTTTAAACTTGAGCATTTCACGGAAAGAAGAAAAAAAAAATCTACAAAACCGCATGGTATCATGAAATATCCTTCAAAGATGTTTTAAAAATTAAGTTTGAAAGTTCTTAGTGTCACTTAAAGTCAAACACAGCAGTAAATTACTGTATTGAGTTGCTGTGAATAGAGGGTGTCAGATTTTTGTGAAATGCAAGGGTGTAAGAGACTGAATTGTACTTCCCTAATGGTTAAAATTCTGTCTGCTGAAAATAACATTTTTTAATTTTTACTGCTGTAGTAAAGAGAGGTACTAAACTTGTGGCATGTGATTTAAGAGGAAGGCCAAGCTAAAATCAAATTTAGACTAAATAAATGATTTCTTGGTTAATTTTTGAGTAATTTCAAAATTGACTTCACAGTTTAGTAGCTTAGAAATACTTGAAACTGTGACAGAGTATTTTCAACACAATTAAACTTGCTGTTTATTTTTTTAGTATTTCAAATCAAATTCCTTGTTCATTCACTCACCTGTATATTTATATCCTTCCCTGGACCTGTACCTCTATTTCTACACCTGTTCTGCCAAAATAAGCTGTCTAGAACTCACCTCACTTTCAGATTGGCTGTTTACTTTAAATGAGCTTTTATGGCGGTGGTGATGTAACCCTAAACCTGAAGTGTCAGTACGGTTTTCTTATTAACACACTGCCACAGACCACACTTAGATGAATTCTTCTCCCTCCTTCCTCTTGGCATTCGCCAGGCAAAGCAGCTAAATCACCTTCCATGTTGGCTGCTCCCACCCTCACTCCCCCACCACCTGGAAGGAGGGAAGGGCTGCTCCTAGTTCAGGGGATGCTGGGCCAGCAGAGATCTGTGATGCACCAGTGACTCTCTTAATCAAATACTGAACTGTTTTAAGTGCATCCACTGTCCTGGACAGTCTGCTTTACTGTGTCAAACTCACGTTACAGCCCAGATGTCACTGTCTATTCCCAAGATGACTTTGGGATAGCAGCCCTACTGCTATGAGAGCACCAGAAACACACACCTTCTCTCTCACTTTCTCTCCATTCATTCTTTTATGAGCACAGCTGGGCTGATGCTGCTTAGACCGTATACAGGACATGTACTGTGTTTCAGTGACACATCACTGTCAGCAACATCATCAAGCTCTTCCAGCTATCTGCAATTAGGGCTCCAGAAAACTGTGGGCTAAGAAAGCTGGTTGGCAGACAACTACCATCCCTCACTTAGAAGCTGTCCATGCCTTGGAGACATGGTAAAGACCTTCAGCTGATATGGTTAGACCCTGCATAGACCACCCAATTTAAGAAGCACAGCAAGGAATGCTCCACTACCAACTCACACAGAATCACAGAATCATTCAGGGTGGAAAAGACCCTTGGGATCATTGAGTCCAACCCTCAGCCTGACTCTACAAAGTTCTCCCCTACCCCAAATCCCCCAACATCTCAACCAAATGTACCTTAAACACACCCAGGGATGGGGACTCCCCCCTCCCTCTTTCTGTGAAACATTTTTTCCTAATGTCCAGTCTAAACCTCCCCTGTTGCAGTTTAAAGCCCCATGGCCAACACGATAACCAAGACCAGGGCTGATCTGCACCAAAAGAGATGACCATGTATGCATGAAAGCTCTGAGATCAACTGTGCATGTTCCTTGTGTCACTTCCAGGGCTCCAGATGCTCAGCAAAGGAGTTAACTCTGCAGCTCCATAGGTTTTTGTGCTGCTTCAAGTCAGGGTCCTCTCCTTGACATAGATTTCATGGGCTGTAAAAGTAACAGGAGACCTGGCAAGATGGCTGGAGCTCAGCGCCTCTGACTAGAGCCAGAAAAACCTTTACTTCAAGCAAAGTAACCACTCACAGTACAGATTCTAGAAAATTAATTTTAATTCCATCTCATCCCAATATTTATTACAGCACATCAATAGATTTTCCTTTATTTATTTTTGCAAGATAGCAGCCAGTGATGTTAACACTAAACCGGAATTCAATCCATCATAGTAAAATTCATCATAAATCTAGACTAAGTTTAGCAGCCAACTTTGAAATTGCTATAAATGAGACTTCACAGCCTCTGCAAGACTCATAGCAGAATCTATGCAGCCATCGAGGTTGGAATGAGTAAATCCATCGCCTCCACAAATCAGGAGAGGTTGAGTATGAAGAATCATTTGTCCTGGAAAATTGGGCACAGCTTTTGTAACCTGAAAAAGAAAAACACACAGGGAGATGGAAAAGAAAGTATTTTACTTACCTGAGTTTCATGACAGAAAGGTCCATATCCCTGAGAAACACACCTTCATACAAAGCACCCCTCCTATCCCAGATCATAGATCCAAACATTAACCATCAAAAACCATAGTAATATATCTATACTCTGGAGTTAAATAATTGTGGAAATTTTGAAAGCTTACAGCCCTGCCCTGTCTCATTCTCATCCCATCTCTGCAGAAATGAATTGCCTGGCTCTGGACAGATGAGGCATGGAGATCTCTAAGCCAAAAGGTATGAAGATTCATGATCTCACATCAACAGAGGTGGTCTTGCAAAAACCTCCAGGTATGTAACTGTTCAACAAAGGAAAGGAGCCTGCCATTTCCAAGAGAGCCTTGCAACACCACTGGGTTGAGCAGGTGACTCCCTGGATGGATGGTGGGTGGATTTCAGAGTAACAACTGTCATGATGAGCTGCCTGTGCTTCCCACTGCTGTGCAAGGGTACATATAGCCATGGGACAACTCATTCTGTCCCCAGCTCTGCTACGCTGGTCTCCTTTCTCAATTGTTGAGTAGCACAACAATTTTTAGACACTGCTAGAGATACAATCAACACTTTCTCTGTAAGCAGCATGGGACTAGTCCTGAATAAGGTAGTTTTGATAAATACTTAATGTAATTTTCAATATATGCATTGTACTCTTTTAAAATATAATTTTCCTGGCAATATACCCTCAATTAAACTTGTATCTGTGGATTGGCAGCTCTTGGGCAGTTCTGTGTAACATCTCTAAAAGTGAACGGACTCGCTTTGGCCATGGCTTTGCTATGAACCTGAAGCTACCTGGAACTCATGGGGAGAACAAAAGACCTCTTTTCAGTATTGTACTTTATGACAGACATCAATGCGTGTCAAACGGCAGAGTAAAAGCACACAGTATCTGTGTTTTTATCATGCTTGGCTTTGTCACACATCGTTGTAGCCTGTTTCAAACCTATATACAAAGGCTGAGTGTCCTTGTTGTACTAAATCAGTGTATCCCAGAGCAGCACCACTGAATCTCAGGATGGAGATAAGGCAGCATCAGCACTGGCTGAAAGGTAAATGTGAGGGCAAGGCAGGCTCAGGCAGAAGGGATAAAAAAGGTTAAGAAGATGCAGGACAGCTTGATGATAAAGTGATTATGGGGGGGAAGGGGGGAAAAAACAGTCCAAGAAAAGGAATGACAAAACAAAATACATAAAGACGAAATGTTGAAAAAAAGGAAAAAAGTATCTAGAAAGCCAGAGAGAGAAAAAAAAAAAAAAAGCAGAAGCACAGCAGTAGCCCAGCAAGAAAGATCAAACTATAGAGATCATAAAGCATGATACAGAGAGTACAATTTTCTTTTGATCATTTCTTGACTTTCTGCCTTTGGTCCAAAGACATGTTTTGGATTCCCGTGCAGTAAACTGTTACTGTGTCCCATCATGTGACTGTCAACTTCAGTGAACAGACCTAAAGTCCAAGGCATCTTGCTTAGTCCAGGGTATTTTTGCCCTGATTCAGACGTACACTCAGCTAGTCACTGCCATGCCGTTATCTGCCATTTCCAAGCACCGATCAGCTGCAAAACCCCGCGTTTATGTTACCGGCTGCATTTTGTGTTACTGGCATGTCAGTATCTCTTTAAAGGAGGTAATCATCTGAAATGAATTTGTAGCCAGTTGCAACTCATTTTCCATTACTCAACTCAGAAGAGCCATGGTACATCCAGTCAGAGATCACCTTTCTCAGACGAATTTTAGGTCAGTACTTAATTTATTCCTAAATTTTTCTTACAGATCAAGGTCACAGCATAAACAAGGAAGAAAGGTTTAGCAGAAAAAGGCTTTTTGAGTGTCCTTCCATCTTGATTACCAGTCCTTATTTGGCATTGGCTGTACCAAACAGCTTCTGTTTTGTCATACTGATCAGAGGATCAGTATTTTCACATCTCAGCCTGCATCTCTTTGCCTGTGTGGCAAGACTGTGTGCTCAGTGTTGTAAAGGCCCTCCCTCTAGACATAGTGACTGAAGAAAGGAATGATCCTGATCTTCAAGTTCTTCTGAAGGTGCTGTCCAACATAAATTCTGAATGACCCTTGGCTGTATGGCACAGCCTGTTGGATCTCCATTGTCAAAGACTTCAAGACTCAGCTACACAAAGCCATGGTCAAGATCACCTAGTGATGGTGACAGTTCTGCTTTGAGCAACAGGTTGGACTACAGGCCTGAAGAGGTCCCTTCTTGAGATACCCTCTGAAGAGTTCCAATTTCTATGATTCTGTGTTTTCCCAGTATTCCTTATAAAGTGTCTCTATCAAAGGGACACGATGGGTTGGGAAGCTGTTAGCTCTGAATGCTAATAGTGTCTTACTGTAATTAAAGGAGGGGATCCAGAATTGCAGCTGTACTGCTAAGTAGTGTCAGTAGAATTTTGGAAATCTTAATCCTCCATCCACCATGGATAATTGTAATGCCTGCATTTTAATCCCAGGATTGTGTTTGGCCATGTGAGGGATGTTACAGCTGGATTTAATTAACAAGTAGGATAAATCCTGCCTAAGAGAGTCAGGGGAAAGATGCATCCATCTTATCAGTTCCCTTTGCTTCTGTGTCAACAGCTGATTATAACTGAAAGTAAAGATAGCTTTAAGAGAAAGAGGGAGCTCTGTCCCAGGTATTTAATTTAGGTAGTGATTATTTTATAGGGTGACAATAGAGATCTCTTTACTGAGATAATGAATCTCACTTACACTGACTTATTTGCAATCTAAGACATATTGACACTGGCCCACTGAATTAAAGACTGGTGAGAATTCCTCCTGTGACAGACATAAAGCACAAGCAGCTGCTGCAGTCAGTGGTTGTGGTTAGTGCATGGCTGACAGCAGGCAACAGAGGCAGGAGAAGAGCGAGCAAAAAGCTGTAAAGTGGTTTGAGAAAATAATAGAGCATCATCCAGCAGTAAGATGTCTGAATGTAATTTTTAAATAGAGGAAACAGGATGCACACCTAGTGATTTAGGAAGACAACAATTTTGAAGCAATTGTGGAAAATAAGAGTTCATTCCTACAGTCACTGTTCCAGCTAGCTCTAAAAGATGAAGCAATACAAGTTTACAAGGTTATAATAAATCCTGTATGGCCACAATTTTGCCAGGATTCAAAAAGCATAGCTGTTTGGTAGAATGCAATTAAGATGGTTTTTATTTAGTAGTAAGAAATTAAGTGCCATTCTTGTCTTTTCTTTTATCCATGGTTTCATGGTGAAATAAATCAGAATGGGCTATATATGATGCATATGCTTTTATGTCACTTTTGACAATATGCTAGTGTGAATAGTGCAAGGAAAAGTCATATTAGGCTCTTTTCTTGCACACATAAACAAAGTACCTGAATTTGATAAATTTTATGATAGAGCTCTGTGACAGCAGCAGTATCTAAGATGTATTAATTCTGTTTAAAAATACTTCTTACTTTGTTTTGGGAGCCCCTTCCAGAGCTGGTCAACCAACTGTCCTCCCTACCACCTGCAGCTCTTGTGCTCGCAAGCAGTTTGAAGCAGAAAAGTAACAGATAATGCAGAAGACCAGAAGCCACAACCAGAAAAGGGTGTCTTAACAGTGACAACTGTATAGAGATACTGCTACTAGCAAAAAAAACCCTGACCTGATAAAGAAGAACATATAAAACATACCATGATTTATGTATGAGTCATCTGAAACATTGAAACCTGTGTTAAGGTTGTTTTTATATGACAGCTGAGAACAAACACTATGCCCTGGGAAGTGATTTGCAAACTACCAATATCTAACTCACAGAATAATAAACTTTGTGCTAGCGAGATCAGGTTCCTAAATGGATGCAGATCAAGGAGCATGAAGCAGACTTCTCAACATCCATCTACAGTAACTTTTCCAGACTTCATAAAAGGAAAAATTTTTAGGGAACTGCTTTAAGTAAATATTTTACATGGACTTCCACATTCAATTTCACCAAATGTAATTTAACTTAAGAGGCTTTGGGTAAACACGTAGATACACTCCAATACTTTAGGAAATTGCCAACAATTTCCTTGGATTTTTAAAAGAATTCTGTAACATATACACATTTTGCTATTATTACCCTTAGGTAGTTTACTTTAAAATAGTTTTTGCATAACATGCTGTTAAATAGAACTGGGCCAAATCAAATAATAACAATTAGTATGTCTGAACGCAAGGACTTCTGCTGCTCTGTGGTAGGGTGGGAATTTTGCTAATAATATCACATACTTTCGGATATAGAACAGACAGATTGAGTCATATTTTTAAATACCAGCGAAAATCCCACCGAAGTCTATGGGATTTACTTCCTTCCTGTGCACTGCACTCCCTACTTACCAGGAGTGATGCATAACTTACTGCTGAGCCAGGTCCACTCTGTGAAAAGAGGACTAGAAATGATGTGGCTGTTGTTGGCCAGCCTTGGATGCTCTTCATGGCTACGTGGAAGAATATATTATGGATATCGAGCAACCACCCCCTTTCCTCTTGCTCCCTGAGGATGAAAACCACTGGGTCGTAGGATGTCCTGTTTCTTGCGACACACAGCAAGTCTGTACATGGCACTGCCCCAGCAGCATCCTGCCAGCTGACTAATCCCACCACAGAATACCTGAGAGTATCTCCATTTATGACACTTGATGCTGGCTGGTTTAGGTAGGGATGGCACAATCCTCTCCAGGTGACTGAGAATTAACTGCTGTACCTCTGCAGGGTCTGAATCCAGGTGCTCGCTTCCAAATGTCACAGTTGTGTGAACTACAACTGAGGGCCCAATTTCAGAAGATTCTGAAATAAAGAAGAGAGATGCTTTTGAAAGACTACTCATTAATACTTGCCTTCCTTGCATGCTGACAGTTGTGCCTCTAGCCTAGGAGTCAGTAGAACAAAAGTATCTGTGGCACCACCCTGTTCTTCCAGCTGGAAAAAACACAAGCAATAACAACACAAGTTGTTCACAAGAAGCACAGTGAAGAAATCCATGCTTTTTGCAAAATTTGCAATGGTTTTCTCATTGCAATAACCCTAGCCCCACATATGTCTCCTAGAGGAACCTCAAGGCATTCCCACACCCTGTAAGTAGCAGCTGGAAGGAGCAGGGAATATACTGGAAGCAAACTCTCCCTTTTTCCTTCTGGACATTTCAACAGGCTCTACAAGGAGGGCAACCACCTGGCGATTGTGGCAAACTGGCAAAAGAGAACAAGAAGAAACACGTAAAACCGCTCTGTAAGATTTTTTTCCAGTCAAGTCTACAAATAGTAATGGTTAGTGCCCCTACAACCGCAGGGCACTCACAGGCACGTGGTCACAGCTGCCCACCTGCAAGGTCTTGCTTGCGTGGTGGCTGTGGAGGTGAGGCTTCCCACAGGGCTACACCTGCAGCTGGGACTAACATTATCACTGGCAACCGTAAAGGGAAAGCCCTTGACCAAAGGCTGAAGCTCACCCAAAGGCTGAAGCTCATCCAGCCATGTGGTAAGATTAAGATACTGGAAGATGCACCTTTTTTTCGGATAGCAGATTATTCTTGGGAACTGAATGGCTCTGCCATTGTTTGAGGGCATGGATCCCCAGGGGCTCAGCACTCCACTTACAGCCGAAGGCATGTGAAGACTCTGAGCGTGCCAGATGTAAAACAAGCAAATTGCAGCCACAGCCACTGCCAGCCTGATGCATGCAAGTCACTGCACCAACAACAGCACAGCCAGCAAGCCACCTCCTCTGTCTGAACAGCCAGAGGAGTGGGGGCACCTGGGTCACCACAGCCTATTTGCTTACACACCTCGATCAGACTAATTTACATTCTTCCTCCCTTGCACATTTGAAACACGTGTCCCCTTAATGGGGGCAATCTCTGCAACACAGAAATACGTAAGGCTTGAACATGAAATCATCACGAGATAAAAAGGCAAAGGACAAAAAAAGAAGAGTGTTGCATTACTGGGAAAATATCTGCTCCCTCTATAATTGGTTGCATATTGGCCATGCAACAGTATTTAGATAGTTGAAAGGCTAGAATAAAACCAATACATTTATGGAGGGGAAGAAGGGGAACAAAAACCAAGGCAGGTTAGCTTGAGAAATCAGCACCTCCTTTTGGCCTGCACAAGGGAACTCAAATTTTGCTGCTTTAGCAACTTCCAGGAAACTGATGTACAGTTCTCTACATGCACTGTTTGGGGAGTGTGAACCTTCAGTACAACTTCAGTCCTTGTGCAAATACGTGCAAGTGAGCAAAACTAAAAAAGAAGAGTTTGTCCCTTAAAAATCAACCAGGCTGAATTGCCAGGGGAGGAAGTGAAGGCAGCTCAAGTGCTGATGTTCATCACAAGGCACGATGAGGACCCAGTAGATCCTTGTGTGAGTCATTCCTCCTGGGGCTGTTCCGCTTCGAGTGAGCAGGATGCATTTGCTGGAGCAAGGACACGACCCTGGGTTCTGCTATATTTTAGCTACAAGTTCAAACTCACCGAGCTGCTTGTTAGACTAAGTGGTTCTCCCTAGCTCTGTTAACTACACATTCCCTGTTTTGGAGGCAGAAAGCCTTCTCTGGCTAAATCTCTGTTTGAATTAGCACATTCCTACAAAAATATTTTAATTTCATCAAATGAGCATTTAAGACCAAGGAACCCACAAAGAAAGAGGCAGTTGAACACCTTCTGGTCAGTTCTGGTTGTTAGGTACCAAGCTTGAAAGAAATCTTTCTCTCTGCTATGTTGATGATCTCCAGCTTCAGATCCCTTTGAGAAGATAACGAATTCCAGCTTTCCAAAGGCAAACAAAATGTCTTTCTCCGATAAGCTTTCTGTCCTGGGCTGATCACTTCAGAATACACAACCGAGGCACAGCAGTACCAAGTCCTAGCACCCACAGCAAGCATGAAAGCAATGGCTTTAACTTCAGTTGGAAGGATCCCTTCACTGAGTCTCTTTCCTGGGTGGGCCAGCTCAGTCAACCCTTGCTCTTGAAAATTGGCAAAATGTGGCAAAAACTGTGGGAAGATGTTTGCTGTTTGTGACCGGAATGCACTCTGACAGGCCACCGAGCCATGGTCCTGCCTTTTCTTAAAGTTCTCCATCTCCAAGTAAGGCAATTCTAAGAGCAGAAGATCACTCACTTCACTCCCTGGGTTGGGCTCACAAGCTCTGTTTTCAGCAAGTACTAGAGCTCCCTTCCTAGGTGATTTCCTGGAGAACCCAGAAATTTTGAGATTGTTTCCTATTATAATTGGAGGTCCTGATTTTGCTCTCTTGTGTCTTGGGCTTGAAAATGAGCCTTAACCATTGGGGACGGACAGGTCCAAGATACCCACCTGACATGGATTTGGGATGACAGCAAGGCAGATCTGGGGACTAAGACTGTAGAGTGAAACAAGGACCACTCTTGTCTAGAAGCAGAGGCTCAGCCAAAGGGGCCATCTTCCTGAGCTCCAATGAACTGACTGACTGAGTCTAACATTCAGCCTCAACCTCATCTTCCCAGGATTCCACCTGCCACCCTCAGGCCTGGTTTCCCAGGACATATCTCTGCAACAGCTTTTCCAACAGTCTGGAAAAACGTCAGAAATGCTACTCAGTTTCTCCTTCCCATTTTGGGGGAGAAAACAGGTATTCTGGTGTCTACATAGAGACTGTTAGGGACAGAAGACCAAGTGGGGAAGCCTATTAGGTACCTAGGGATTTATTGTAGCCTACATGGTATTTTGGCAAATTCTTCCACATAAGCTTGGCAAAAAAGCTCATTAAAAGACATCTAAGCATTTTAATAAAATAAATTTCATTGCTTGCTGTGACTTGTTATAGCCAATGATTCTTGGACAGGGCCGCCTTCTTTCAAATCTCTCATCTCTTCCATAGCATGTACAAAACAAGTTTCAGGAGAACAGGCAGTTTGTTGAGTTTTTAATTCCTCCTTTGAGCTACTGATAGTTTGGAGAGTTTCCAGAGGCCACTGAGTCACAGCCTTCCAGTACTGAAATGTGCAGCCTGCAAGGATCAAGTTTAGCCTCAAGCCCTTTGGTTTCTTCTGCAAAAATACTAAGAGAGTTTAAAATAGATTTTTCTCTGAAAGCAATGGGGCTATCTCAGCCATGATGAACTGGGTATGAACGACTGTTCAGCTGTTGCAGGAGTAAAACCATCATTTTCCTCCCAACATGTTTAGATGAGGCTGCAAGTGCTAGCTTAAAAACGAGGCCTTCTGGCAGGGCTTCTCATACGATTTTAATTTACTTTATTTGTGGCAAAGATGTAAGCCGTCCATGGCCATGCTAGCAGATGACAAAGTAGCATGGGAGATGTGGCAAGCCCAGGAACGCTCGGCAATGCGAAGGGTAATGATCTGAGTGTGAATGGAAGCATAAAAGCTTTCATCTGCTCCCAGTTCTCCTCCCCTCTCATCCCAGCTGCACAGCAATTAATCCGATCAGTCGATGCATTGGAGGGCATAAGACGCCGGGTAGATCAGAGCTAGAATCAGACAGCAGAGCTGGCTCTAGCTTATACCTACTTAATGAGCAAGGAGCCACTCTGCCAGCATTGGCAGCGTCCTCGGCATCCGCAGTTGCTGAGGGACCCCACTGAAAACCGCTGAAAGCAGCGAGCTTGCGCCTTCCTCTGTCCAGACCACGCTGCACCGCCGTGGGGGTGCCTGGCCCCCAGCCCCTCTGGCCTGCCTTTGTTAACTTGCACCAGGTGGAAGGTGGATTTTTGTGCAGAGACCCTGTTGAGGTTGTGGCCAGCGAGGGAAGCGCCTGCACCATCTCATGCAGCAACAGCAGTCTGGCGGCCACGGTTTGTGCCCAAGGTTTAGACTCCTCTCCCCCATGGCACAGGGAAGAAGCTGTACTATAACTACAGTTTTCCTTCACTTCTGAGTTAAGTTTTCCTCATTTTACTGTTAATTTATTTTGCTCTGCTTCATAGCACAGGACTGACACAGGCAGAAAGTAGATGCAGAGCGACAAATGTGAGGATAAACACATTCCTTTCAAGACTTAATTTTGCTTCCATGTAAACAGAAAAGAACTGTGCAATCACTGGTGTATTGCCCCATCCAGCCCAACAGCCTGTCCATGACAGGGAAGGTGTTGCAGGAGCTGCTACATCCCTGCCTGGCCTGGCAGCCGGGGCTGTGCAGTGCCTGCAGACTGTGAGGAGACTGGCTTGTAGGGGTGGGAAGAGGGCCTGAGCTAGGCTCTGATGTGGGTCCCAGATTTAACACAGCCACCCTCCTTGGGATGTCTTGGCCACCACCACTATCTACATGCAGTTGTTCTGAGCAGCCTGCAAGGCTGAGCAGAGAAGCAGGGATGAACAAATGCAGTTTTTTGCCTCAGAGTCAAAGTATGAAGTTCCACCAGTTCTCCACAGACAAGTCTAGTCCACAAAGGCCTTACGGGAGATGCTGAAGCACTTCAGACCAAAGCCTGGATACACTGTCTGTCTTATCAGCAGTGTCTTCTCCTCTTAGCAAGTCTGAAACCACATACATGGAAAAGGAAAATGGATGAAGAGACAGGAGATTAAATAAATGCAGAATTAAGCAAATCTGTAATTTAAAAGTGAGGATCTAATTACATCTTCCACATCCTAAAGGGAAGGTGACAGAGATGACAGAGCCAGACTCTTCTTAGAAGTTCAAAGCACCAGGACATGAGCCAAGGGGCACAACTACAACAAGAGAAAACCCCAACTGGACATGAGGATACCACCCCTTCCTGTGTGAGCAGGGCATGCCTGGGACAGGGCCCTAAGTGTTGGGGGTCTCCATCCTTAGGGACTGCC